ATCCAGAAGCAAGTGGTAGTATTTTAAATATTTTTGGCTGGTGAAATTTTCACAAGTACTGTTTTTTATCAGTAACAACAAAGTTTAAACTTTACACATAGGAATAACCTCAGCAATTGACTTTGATTATTCACTAATTAACAGAGGGTTTTCAAAGGTCTATCAGATAATATTTTGTATATAGTATTCTGTGTTCTCTGTCCAGGCAGACAGAATTATAGTCAGTCCCAGCAACAAAACTGCATTAAAACTCCAACTACTTATCAGTGAAGATTTCTTGAGATTTCAGAATATTGGTGGTGGGTTATATGTTGGTGTGGCTATTCTGAGGTTTATTTTTTTTATTTTTATTTTTTTTCTTTGCATTGTAGGATAACTTGCTTAATTGGCACCTCTTTCCATTTGAATGGTGGAAAGCGTTCATTGTGTTCACAGAGCGTTTCTGGGCCTTGTGGCTCCTGGGGAGGGATAACTCTTTAGAATGGCTGCCCCCTGGGAGGGGGAAAGCATAAGCAGAGATTCTGAGTGACAGAGTGTTACTAAATCAACACATCAATCTCAGGAATAATTGTTGGATTGTCAGTGAAGAGCGATTATGCCGTTTAAGGAAAGCCTTTGGGAGCATACTTATTCCCCCACCACCAGTTGGCTCTTCGGGGTATGAAAGTACTGTATTCTTTCACAGGTGGAGTTTTATTTGTTTATTTATTAATTTGTGTGTGTGGTGGGGGAATGAGGTACTCTAGGAGCAAGAAAGCAACAATCCACAAAGGATTTCTTACAGTTTTGTTTTATGATACCCATCCTTGCTGGTTCCCTCAGAGGCTAAGTAAACGCTGAGGCTCTGTCTAGCTTTTGCCACATCAAATGGTCACATTTTCATAGACATTATTTTTGCATATAGCTAAAATGTATAGCAAAATACCAGCTTAAAGGATTCCTGTGCTTGCTGCTGAATTTCATGTTGTTTGGAGACGTGTAAGGTACTATTTAAAAGACAACAAATATGTTTTTGGAGCCCCACTGTGCACGCAGCACTGTGGAAGGGCTTATGTAGGATTTAAAAGCTTAAGATAAACACAAACCATGTAACCATCAGGTTGGATTCTGTTTACTAAAATGAAAGGAGAACTGAGTCTAAGAGTTTGTGACTGGTTTTAAGAGGAAGAAAGCACTGTGCACATTGTCATGCAAATTTGAACTTGAACTTGGTCCTGGAAATGGATTTCTGTTGATAAGTCATCTTTTCTTTCAGGGACCTTTGGACTGTCTACATGACAGGATAAACCATGTGAAAACAAAAATACAGGGACTATAATCAGGATGTTATCCTCAGGTCTCTTATTTTCTGAAACTGGAATAAGCAGATGATACAGAAAATGTATTCAGCTTTGATGTGTTCGAAGTCATATAGACATGTATTTCTATTCCAGTGTATTTTGTTTTCCATTCAAAAATATTTAAGGGTAATTTTTTACAAGTTTTAAGATCTGTAAAGCAGTTAGAACTTTGTAGAAGGAGAAGACTTCCTCCTACAAGGCCTGTTTTGCATTTGTAATCTTGGAGTTGGGTGCTTCAGTGCTCTCTTCACAAATTGATATGTAATGTGTGAAATGCTTAATAATGTCATCAAAGAGATGTATATGTTTATTTATGTTTTACAGATAGGAGACTTAACCACAGGGAATTTAAATGACTTGAATATTGTAGTTAGCACTCTGTGTTTAGAAATAAACAATTCAAATTTTTATCTAAGTCTGTTTTAAAAATTTGCTTTTACAACCCTTTGTGAGTAAGGTCATTTTTTCCTCCCTTTGGGTTTTTTTGGCCAACCTTGCATCACAATTTTGGCCAGCCCTTTCATAACTGTATTCCAAAAGGAAATTGGGTGAAAATGTGTAGATAGTTCAGTTAAACTCATGTCCTTTACTTTCCCCAACTCTGTTAGTTGGAAAAACTTCTTAAAATCTAAGTTTAATAATTATCTTTGTATATGAAGATCTACAAATTGTTACAAAGAAGTTTCTCAGCGAAATTGAAAATTGGCTTCCTTTTCTTGTTTGGTCCATGACACCAATGAGTTAAGAATTTAATATCCATTTCCACTTTTTCATTAATTACCATAAAACTGCCGTGAATATTTTACTATTCGTTCTAAGTTAAATAATCTTTCAAAATCTCTCCTCCAAAGTAAATCACTTATAAATGAATCCATCTACCTCTTTGCCCTTCACTTAACCTCTTCTATCTCAGATGCTTGGTATTCTTTTGGGGAAGGGAAATCAAATTTATATTAGTCTCTCAGTCCTCTTTTTAATATATTTAATCTTCTTATTAGCCTTTGTGACAGCATCTTAACTTAGTGGTGACACCTTCATTGAACCTGGTATGGCACTTTTCGCTCTCTCTAGGAAGGGCCGTTTCTGGCATTGACCTCATCGTTATTACACCCAGGGAGCATGGAATATTAATGTTTTCTCAGTTCAGTAGGTTTGCTTGGTATTCCATTATTTTCAGCACATACAACTGGGTGATATGTGTCTCCGGTTTATTGGGGGAGGGGAGGACTCTCAAGAAATAGGAGATGCTCTGTATGGGCCAGCCCTTGGGAGTCTGCTGCAGACGTGGCACTACTCTGAGCCTCATATTTATCCACTTGCCAAGATACTTTACCTTTCTCTTCGCTATTTGTATGCACCCAAATATAAACAGTACAGCCAAAAAGTTCCTGTAGGAAAGGAGGCTTCTCCTAATAACCTCACTCTATTTATTGCCTAACATGATGCCGTGGACCTTTTCAGGCATGGACCTTTCAGGGGGTCCATAAAACAACTTCTTGCCTGTTCCTGGTATGTATTGTGGGGCACCTTAGAGATTTTCTTTTTCTTCTCTGTCTTCCATTGTCTCCATCTTCTTATAGGGCTTTGTTACCCCAGGCTGGATTTGATAACAGCTAACTTGCTCCCAATTCCCAGTCCCTCCTTGATGTTATTCCCAATCTTTCCAGAGCACGGTCTCATATGATAGTTCCCGGCCTCTGGAAGTACAGGGTCTCCCAACTGACCATCTTATAAATTCCAGACCCTTCCGCCTGCTTCACATCTATCTGAATATATGTTAAAAGGAGGTGTATCATACCGAGGAAATTGTCTAAAATTCAAGATAAGTTTCCTGATAGGCCGTATTTAATTCATTCAACAGACTTATGGAGAATATGAATTGGGCTATTGCCTATGTAGGAGAGTATATATAGACAAGTAAGATTTGGCATTCCCTTAAGAAGCTTGGAGTCTAGTAGGGAAGAAAGACATGTAAACAAAAAATTACAATATAAGCCTGTGTGTGTGTGTGTGTGTGTGTGTGTGTGTGTGTGTGTGTGTGTTGGTTTTCCCCAGAGAAGGAAGTGGGCACATATTCCTCTACAGGGGTTAGAAGTCACTAGGGAAGAGATGATTAAATTGGGTCTTGAAGGACAACTAAATGTTTGTTAGGTGTGGTAAACAAAAGATTTCAAAGGATATTTGAGGTAAAGGAATTAGCATGTTTAGCGTCAGAGTCTTGAAACTAAGGGAGAGATTTGATGGAATTGAAATTACAGGATTGGAGAAGGAGAGGGAGGGAAATGACAAGGACAGCCTTGGTTTCTAATTTAAGACAGGAGAGAGCTTGAGGACAAAGCACTCCTCAAATGGAAGAGAGTCTAGGAGAATGATGAGTTTGGAGTCTGTTGGTAAAATGCATTTCACTATGGAGCACCAATCTGTGTTAGGATCCAGCAAGATCAGAATCTGTTACAGAGATCGTAAAGCTGAAGTTCAGATAGCAGATCCGCATGAAGAAGGGATCCTGAAGAAACCGTAGCCAGCACTAGAGACCGAGAAACAGGAAAAGATGAAGCTGTGGTCAGGGCCTAGGTCAATCATTGGTCTATGGCAGAGTGAGACCTGTTTCCTAGGGAAAGGGTCACCATGCATTTGCTATGTTAAAGAAGAAGAACGTGGAATGTCAGATCCTGAGAAATAGGACAAGTTGCTCTGGAGAGTGCTGATTGAAGGGCCACATCATGTGTGGGTAAGCTTTTTGACTAAGACCCGAAGGCCAGGTTGTTTTCAGTCTTGTGGTGTTTAACTTACTTTTGTATTAGCCTTGAACTTCTGGAGCTTATGTTCATTTACTTTTAGTAAAATTTGGGGTTTTTTTCCCAGAGAAAAATAGGACATAAATTAGACTTAAATGGTTTTTTTGGAGATAAAATAGCTCTTAAAAATTTTGCATTTTGATGAGATGAGTTTAAATGAACGAAATGCAATCAAATGAACAGCCCTTAAAATACAGTATGTGTGAAAAATCAAATCATGACTACTTAGAGCAAAACGTTTAAGGCTTTATTATATTGAAACTATTTGAAAAAATATTCCGAATGATGAACTAGTAGAATATGTGATCAGGTTTTATAATTTAAAACTGACTCTCCCTTTTTCATGGATGTATTACTTTCTTTTCTATATACAATTACCCTAAATATATTGTTCTCAAAACAAAGTCATCATTTTAAAAACAGTGTTGTTATTCCAATTATAAAAAATATTTATACTTTGTTTAAATATGTATAAAAATTTTAAAAATTCAAAAAAGATAATAAAGATCACATTTATGTCCACATATAAGAGATAGCTACTAAACTTTTGTTCTAGAACTGTCTAGATCATTTTAGGTATGCATGTGTATGTGCGTGCATGGGCGTGTGTGCGTGCACACACACACACACCTTTTTTGTAATTCATATATTTTTTTAATGGCGTCAGACCTTTTTTTTTTTTTAAGATTGGCACCTAAGCTAACAACTGTTGCCAATCTTCTTTTTATTTTCTGCTTTTTCCTCTCAGATCCCCCCAGTACGTAGTTGCATACTTTTAGTTGTGGGTCCTTCTAGTTGTGGCATGTGAGACACCCCCTAAGCATGGCCTGGTGAGCAGTTCTGTGTCCCTGCCCAGAATCCAAACTGGTGAAACCCTGGGCCACCAAAGCGGAGCATATGAACTTAACCACTCGGCCACGGGGCTGGCCCCTGTAATTCATATTTCTACCAAAAAAGAGGCTTATATATTATGTCTGTATACTATTTTGTACATTTTTTCACTTTATAACAAATTAACATTTGGATTTTGGATTACTATTTTTAATGGCTAAATAATATTTTATTTATTTGTCTTAGTATTTCCTCAGATAAATCCGTCTGAGTTAAATTGCTGGTTTAAAGAACATATTTAAAACGTTGACATGCATTTATTACCAAACGGCCTTCTGAATGGGTTTTTATGTTCCTGCCAGCAGTATGCAGGAGTGCTTATGTTTGCAGACTCTCATCAACACTGATGTTAGTTTCCTTTAGTCTTTGCCAATTTTATAAGCCAAAATGATATCTTATTCTTTTCCGTGTGATTTAATTGAATTTTCCCCTATATTATTGGTCATCTTTATTTTTCTTGAGTTATCTGTTTATACCTTTGCTTATGTTTTATTTGTGTTTTTACCTCTTTCATGTTAGTTTAGCAAAGCTTTTTATAGATTAGAGATACAACTCTGTCTGCCTTTGGGTTATGATTATTTTTCCACTTGGTAATTTATCTTTTCATTTGCATTCGTGTGTTTTGGCATACTGAAATTTTAAAGATTTGGGTAGTAAATCTGTCATCATTTTTTCCTTTATGTTTTTTCTTTAGGGTCATGCTTAAAAATGAAAGGCATTTATTTTTGCCGCTTTTCTTGAACTTGGACGACAGAAACAGCCCACAAACTGATGGTTAAATCTTTTGTTACTGAGATACCCCATGGGCTGTCAAATCCTCTGTCTCAGTTCTCTTCTTATTCAGAATCTACAATAAGTAGTCATTTTTTAAAGAGAAGAAATGACTATCTAGGACAGTCTGTGAGTTTCCACCTTCAATCTGGATGTTTAACATTGGGTTATTTTCTTTCTCTGTCTGTAGTTTGACTCTTATTCACATTAGTGGCGTCCCTAGTACAGTGTTGATTTTGTCTTCCTAATATCCAATCTTCTTGTTTATTTTTCAGTGTTTCTAGATAGCATGCTATTTCACATTTGACTTATTAATAATTATGTGTAACTCTCTGAGCATATCTGGGATGATCTCTCCTTCCTATTGTATTTTAAAAGTGAGTCAACAGAGGGGACTGCATGTGCAAAGATGCATAGATGAGAAAGAACATTGTATGTGGGGAAACTGGAAATTAGGATGTGGTTTCTGCAGAGGGCACAAAAGATGTAGACTGAGGACTGAGGCTGAAGGAGGAAGTAAGGTTCAAGCCATTTATGGTCTCGTAAACCTAATAGGGAGGTTGAACCTCATTAGAAAAGCAATGGGACGAAGAAAGTTTTTTCCCAAGGGAAGAGACACAAATCAAGATTTATCTTTTGTGGCTACGGTGTGCAAAACTGAATGGAGCTTAATGGAGAGTACTATGGTCTAGAGGGCACAGATTATATAGAGATTATATATATGTGTGTACATACACACACGGGTCGGGGGAGATAGGAATGGAATTGATAGAGAAGGAGATATGACTATGAAAATGTAGAAACAGTAGTATCACTTGAATTAGTTCTAAAAGCAGGTTGTGTCATTAGTGCTGTGGAGTGGATTCCAACTCCAAGCAACCCTGTATCCAGCAGAGCAACCCCTGCACGGTCTTTCTGCACCATCCTCTCACTTTCCAGTGCTGTATCAGACACTGCTGCTATTCATAGGGTTTTCATGGTCAATTTATTTGGAAGTGGATGGCCAGGTCCTTTTTCCTAGTCTGTCTTAGTCTGGAAGCTCTGCTGAAACCTGTCCACCATGGGTGACCCTGCTGGTATTTGAAATCCTGGCAGCATAGTTTTCATCATTGCAGCAACACGCAGCCACCACAGTGTGACAACTGACAGACAAGTGATATGGTTCCCTAATAGGGAAAGGAGCCCAGGCTGCTTTAGTAAGAGTGCCAAATCTTAACCGCTAGTCCACCGGGGCACGTATAACTCATTTAATTCAAATCACTGAAATAAAGAAGAGTAAACAGACAATGAGCAGGAGAACAGACTTAGTAGGAGTCAGCTGGGACTAGCTGGAGGGTTGTCACCCTGAAAAGGTTTAAAAGGTGGAAGAATTGGAATATGGTACTATCCTCAAGGAAGGAGATAGTATATATGCGTGGGAATGCTGGAAGTCTGCAGACAGTCTGGAAGATCTCCAAGTTGGCTCCTGGCCCTGAGATTGTTAGGGGGAGAAACACAAGCAGCCTTGCTAGACCGAGAGAAGCAGTATCCTCATTGGAGAGCCTGGATAAAAAGGGTGTGTTCACTAAGAATAATGGTGTCGAGGCTGAACTTTAAGGTAAGCCTGTATTTCGTTTTGCAGAATTGCTCATTTGAATGAGTGATTCAGATTCCCATGGCTCAGGACTCTGTTTTGGAATCTGCCTAAATATATGAAACATTACAGAGATGGAAAATGAAGCGCCCAGAAGGCAAAAGAAATATTTGTAAATAAAATTAATAGAGATGATTTTGAGAAAGGTAGGCAATTAAAAGACATTTTTTTTAGATATTCTGTAATACTTATGTCTGACAAGTAAGATTTTAATGAAGCATTTCTATTTCTTTTTATTGAATATGCATGGGTTTATTAATGAAGGGGTTTTGACACACAGACAACAAGTGCAAAGAAGTACTTAGGGCAAGGGGAAGCTATTAGGTCACACACAGTTTTGTGATGTCAGTTGCACAGTTACATATTTCCACTGGGACATATGGTAGGGTTTCTATAAATATTTTTAAAATAAATGGATGGATAATATATGTCTATATAATGAGTATCATAAACCGTGATTTCTTGATTGATCTTACTGAAAGACCTAGTAAGATTCCTTTAATGCTTTTCTTTCAAAAGAATTGATAACCCTTTTCTTTCTCAGGTAGGACGTTTGTAGTTAAATAAGGACACTTTGAAAGGAATATTAGTGCCCCCAATACTATAAAAACTGATATTTTGCCCCGTGAGGGTGTTTCAGTCACTCTACCTAGTGACAAAATTAAGGATGTCTGTCTACATATGGCACCTCAGGGCCTTAATTCGGATGCTTTGACAATTGTGCCACTCCATTATCTTCATTCTACAGATGACATAACTGAAGTAAGAGGAGGTTAAGTGGCTCCTGCTGCATCACAAAGCAAATTAATGTCAGAGCTCAGTTTCAAATCTTCTTGTGTAAGTCTTGGATATGTTTGTAGCCATAGATTCTTTTTCGTGAGTATTAAGTGTTTATTCTGCAGTAGTATATAAACATGTCCAATAAAACCTGAGTTCTTTAATTTTATGCAAGAGATCATAGCAAGGAATAATTCAAGATACGGATCTTTCTGGAAAATTTAACTTTTTCAGCATGGCACACTGAAGGCCTCGGTTATGTTCTGACCTTCTGCACCGCCCACGTGGACATTCAAAGCCACACACGCGACAGATGAGATAATTCATAAAGGACACAATAGAGGACAATATCCAGAGTACAGGTGCCGAGATTAAGGCTGGACAGAAGGAAGGCTAGCTTTCCTACTAAAGCAGAAGGGAGGTGGATGCACTGGTGCTGAGGGAAGTGGATTGGGAGGGGCAGGGAAGGGGGTCCTTTCTGACCCATGACCTGTGTGCTCCCGGTGGAGTAGGAAACAAGATCTCTTTTGGGGCCTGACTTCGTGAGATTGGCTGTTGATGGATTAAAATGACTATAATGTTACCACATTACTAACTCAGCCTGTGAGATGATCTGTTCTGCAGATATATTGTGTTTCTAGAGGGCTACACACCTACAATTTGGTGACCAAAGAGACCACGTAGAGCCTGAGCTGAATGATGCTGGGCGTGGCTGCTCATGTTCTTCGTCTAATTGTACTTTGTTCTGTTTGCTCTTTACCTAGAACCTGCAGCCACAGACCAAATACCACCTAAAGTATCTGCAGGAAAGCTACAGTGCCTCTATATAATCCCCACGCTTATATTCTTTACAAATGCAACGGAAGGTGCATCATCTATAATCTGAAGCAGAGCTATGTATGTTTCCATTCAATCAATATCTGGTGCCTACTAAAACCAGGCTCTGGAAATAGAGGTTCCTGCTTTTAAAGAGTGTAAAGACAGATGGGAAATGGTGCAAACAATGAACAGATCAAAAAAATAAATAAGAATTTTAGATAACAATGTGTCATGAAGACAACAGGGCAATATGATAAGTAAAAGATGCTCAGTGTGGTGTGAATCTAGATTGTTGTATCAGGGAAGGCCTCCCAGAGGAAGTAACTCTAAAGCTGAGCTCTGATTGGCAAGGAGCAGGAAGCCATGGTGTTTCAGGGAGGTGGGAGGAGTAAGACTGGAGGCCTCAAGGCAGGCTGTCGTGAAAAGAAAGAGCCAGTGTAGCTGGACTTAGTGAGGAAGAGGCCAACAGGACATGAGGTCAGGGAGTGCCATCAGCACCCAGAATGTGCCATGACCCTGAGTTCTTGGGGAAGAGTGGGTATTCAGTCTAAGGGCAATGGGATGCAGCTGAAAGATTTTAAGCAGAGTTATGGTCTAATCTGAATTAAAATTTAAAGGATCCCTCCAGTTACTGTGTGAAGAATTAATTATGAATGGTAGGAAGCTGTTTCAGTAGGCCAGGGGAGATGATGTCTTTGACCAAGTGGGAATTGCAGAGAGGGACAAAATGGATGAATTCAGGACATACTAATGAGGTAAATAGGCTGCCTGTTGATTGACTAGATATGAGAGGCAAAGTGAGAGTCAAGGATGACTCCTAGGATTGTTGGCTTTTTGTTTTAGAATAGCTTTTCTCAATAAGTAAAATAAAATGAATCCATCATATAGTAGTCATTGAATGTTTATCAGTCATCTTTAGGCATCTTTATTATGAACATTTCATAGATGATGACACTTGGCCTGTGGGCCACCTTCCCAAGGTCAGTCAGATGAGGAGTATGAAGCTGGCAGAGGAACCAGGTCACCCTGAGTTGGTTCAGAACCTACCTCTCGTCCACTCAGTCATGATGGCCCTATAAATATGGCCTTGGATGTCAAGAGAAACCCTATCTCTTCCTCTGCCCTTTAGCCCCAGAGATGGGTAGCATCTTACAGGTGGCTTGGCAGGCTGGTGTCCCTCTGAGAATGGAACAGGGGCTAATGCACTGTCCTCAGGTGGACTGGACTGTCCTCTGACCTATTCTATATGCAGGGCCTTCCTCAGGGTCCCACAGTGACTCGATTGGAGGAATGCCTGGGATGACCAGAAGACTCTCAGAGCAAGACCCTGAATACTTGCTTTATCTTCTGGGCTTTTTGACATCACAGAGGGGAGAGCTATTCAGACTGGTCACTCCCTCACTCTGATTGGGTAAAGAGCTGAAAAATGGTCAAGATACACTAGTTGCTTAATCTTCACTTTGCATCTGGAATATCTAGATTTTTTTCCTCTGGTTTTTGTTTTTTGTAATTTAAGCAATTCTGTACTTCTAGGTCATCTATATTTTTATTATAGTTGTTCTTACAGGAACTTTTGAATTTAATGCTCTGAAATGATATTATAGGGCGATAAGTCTCACTTTTGTGGTTAAATATTTTATTGATAATGCTCAGTAATTAATTATCTGCTCTCCTGGTTCTCTTCGTATTTCTCTTGCTATTTATCCTGCGTGCCTTTTCTGGACTCTTCTTTCCTATTTGACATACGTATCTTAGGTGGTTTCAGCTCTGCTCTTATTCTAACACACAAATATGCTGATGCTGAGTCTTAGCTTGCTGCCAAGCTTCTCCGTGATGCCAGCTCATAATGCCTGCCTGCTGGATACTTCCACCTAGATGTCCCACAGACACTTCAAATTTGTCTAAAATCATCATCTTTTCCCCTGAATCAGTTACTGCTTTCTCACTTGGCGAGGCCACATGTACCCAGGCCTCCACACTGAGTTTTCCATGTCTTAGCTTTCTCAGCTAGTCTCTGCATTCAACCAGTCACAAATTTTACCTACTGAAAGTTTCTCAAAGCACTTTTTTTCTCTTTTTTTCCCCTACCACTGGCCCTGGTCAGATTCTGTATCACCTTTTAACTAGATTCTTTTTAACTAGTTAGCTAATTGCTTTCTGCCTTCAGTCCTCCTCTTAAATACCTACTCCACCGATATAAAAATTTACCTATAAAATGAAAAATATGACTGTGGCATTCCCATGCTTAAAACTGTTTAATAGCCACCATCGCCCAAAGAATAAAGCCCAAGCTTCTTAATATGTAAGCCCCTCCACAGTCTGGCCATCCTTCCACCCAGCTTTGTCTTGACCTCTCTGTGAAGTTGAGACTGAAGCATTATCAACATCAACCTGAGTGTGTTACACACACCCTGCTCTGTTTCTCGCCCTTAAGCCCTGCTCAGGGATCTCCTCTCCCACCCATCCTCTTTGCTGCTTCTTTTGTCCCATCTGGTTAAATACCATCAATTAAGGCTCACTTCGGCATTACCTCTTATAAAGTCTTTCCTGGTACCTGGAAATGCTCTCTGTTTTATCCTCATTATTATTCCATGTTAGCGCCTTAATGCCCAATGGGATGTCTCCTGCTGCATGGACTTTAATGTTTCATAATTGTCTGTTTGTCTGTTTGCTTCTCCCTCTGAGCTTTAATTGAGGGCATTTTATTCATCTTAGTGAAGTTTCTGAAAAAAAGTAGGCACTCCATAAATAGACATTGATTAAATTGAATGAATAAATGTTGGCACTTAAATATTTATGCCACTTTTTGGTAATGCATTAATAGAATCATTGAATGACTGCTCTTTAGAAATAATCATGAATATATTGTTAGACTGTGATTTTTAACCCAAGATTATAATGTATGTATTATTTCTAGTTATGAAGCTAGTGTAGTCAAGTAAACTTTTTAAAGGGTTTTTACTGCACTCAGGCACAAAGAATAATCTTTGGGTCCTTCCCTTAACTCAGTGAAGTGCTGTCTTTGAAACCTAATTGTCACCTCTTCATTAATGAGTATAGTAGGGGAAAGGAATTCACCGTTGATGTAGTTGACAAGTATGTCTGTCCCTTCCAGTCATCACATTAATAGAGAATGAAATACATATAAATAGAAGTTTAATAGTAATGGTCTCAAATGTTAATTGAATTTACTTCTTATGATCTCCTAGTTGTCATTGGTTAGACAACTCATTTTATGTGTAAGAGAGCTAAGACTAGAGAAGTTAGTCATGGTCACAAACTGGGTCACAATAATTTGACCAACTTAGATCATTAGAGACGTTTACATTCCAAAACCTTTCTTTCTCATATATGGGAAAGTATTAGTCTCCTATTAAATTTCAATCTCTGTTAACAAAGTGTCTGACAACCAACTGTCACTAGGATGTGTGTTCCTTCTCAGTAAGGAATGTTTGTAAGGAATAAGGGGCTGAGATGCAGGTGGAAATGCTTTAAAAAATAACTGCGAATGTATGGAAGAAAGCACAAAAATGCACAGTCTATATTTTTGAGGTTTACAGTGGCCGTTAACTTTTTATATTGCCCCAATAACTAAAAGACCTCAGGAGATAGGGCTTTGGCTTTTACCAGTGGTTCCAGCTGTAAGAGAAACACCTGAGCTGGGATGAGTCAGGACCATTCATAACTACGGCACATCTTCCTGGATGTTAGTTACACTCAGATGGGATGGGGGAAGGGGGAAGATGGTGTGTGTGTCCATGCGTTTTTTAAGGTTTTAATCAAACAAAAATATTTCCCCACAAATCAGCTTAATGGCCTGTCACAGTTTGTATCATATGTTTTATTTACAAATATAATGTTAGTATTTTTCATTCCCCCTATAGTGCGTTTCCTGGTAACAAAAACATTTTGGAGTTCAAAATGTTCATATAACTTACCAATTGCCTTTTAAAGTAGAAAAGTTTCAAATTATATGTTTTTCAGCGGAGAATTTCATCAGTATTTGAGAATAAGAAAATTAAAGCATTTGCTTAAAAATCAATAAAGATATGTAAAATAATATGAGGTATCCAGAATAGTTTGAAATTTTTAAGGCTGTGTCATAAATGACATCTTCTCTGAGAGTCCACCTAATAAACTGGTTAATAACGATGAAGGCATAATACTCACAATAGAGGTAAGTGACTTTTTAAGTGTGGCAGTCACAGCCTTTATGACTAATTTTAAAGGCCTTCAGAATTCTCCCAAACCAGGATCTTACTGAAGATTTTCACATTGGGCAAAAGGAATTGTTCAGTTTTCTGTTGTCCTGACTTCTCTCCGGGCAATGTCAAGGGTTTCTTGAGTATGGGCAGTAATACACTCATTATACTCATAGTGTGAAGACAGTACCTTTCTGTACAATATTGCTTGGATATCAAAAAAATGTATAGGGGAGCGGCCCGGTGGCACAGCGGTTAAGTGCACACGTTCCACTTCGGCGGCCCAGGGTTCGCCAGTTCGGATCCCGGGTGTGGACATGGCACCACTTGGCAAGCCATGCTGTGGCAGGCATCCCACATATAAAGTAGAGGAAGATGGGCACGGACGTTAGCTCAGGGCCAGTCTCCCTCAGCAAAAAGAGGAGGATTGGCAGCAGGTGTTAGCTCATGGCTAATCTTCCTCAAAAAAAAAAAAAATATGCATTCTTGTTTAAATTTAGTCTCTTCTTATCTGCTTTGTTCCCTCAAATCAGGCAGGTATTCGCCTTTCTTTGTCGTATACCCCAGGATCTAGTGTCACAGAGTGACTCATGCACTAGGGTGCTTTGCCCTAGCAGGGCTGACTCTAGTCCTCAGTTTACCTCGTAACTGCAATTCTGCATAATGATCACGTCTATTCTACTCTTTTTTTTTCAGCTACATGTTCAACGTGATACACAAGAGGAAAACAAGAAGGCCTCTGCTAAACTTAACAACACACACACACACAAAATTTGAGTGGTTATTGCTTCATTTCCTCTACTTGCCCCCAGTCGCCTCTGATCTAAGCTGCTTCCAACCTGAGTTTCTGAGACATTTCACAAAGGACTCATAGTCGTAAATAAATAATCTAGTATGCAATAAGCCTGAGATTTTTTTCCAGGTTATTACATGTATTACTTACCTATTGCTGTGTAGCAAATTACCACAAACTTATTGGCTTAACACAATACTCATGTTGTTATAGTTGTGAACTGTATCCATGCACTCAAATTTAACAACTGCCCTTTTTGTAACTGAGAAAGATTTAGTATAAAATCCCAGAATTCTTATTAGACTATTAATCTTTTTGACTTACCCTAAAAAATGCTTCCATGTTTTGTTTGTTTACTTTGAGTTTTGAATTCAGCTGTAGAAAATTGGCTGTAACTGTGGAACTGTAATGGAATAATGTTTAAAAATAAAACTGCGAAAATTTTTGTTTTCTTGTGTTTTCACCTAATTGTGTGACACTAACACCTTTCATAGGAAGATGGCGTATCTTGAGTATATCTGGAAAAACAAAACTGAGCTATCTCAGCAATCGTGGTTTTCTTCAGTGTAGTTGATACCTATTACTGGTAAAAAGCTAGTAGCAAGAAAGCTTATAATTGGATAATGCCTAATAGTTTTTCTTTACTCAGTTAATTAGTGTAAATTTCTCTCTGGTTTTCATTAGGAAGGATTTCATGAATATAATTACTGGGAAAGCTGGGATATTTTTTAATTTTTAAATTTGGCATCCCAGTAAAGTCTTGCTTTAAAGAATACTTTAGTGATTGGATTAGAAATGAATTAATTTTATTTGATGTATTTCAAAATGATAAGATCAGAATTGATTTAAAACATCTATTTTATATTACTCTAAGGGCCATTTTAAATTCCTTTTTACCTAAATATCTGTAGCCATTATTGACTTTTGCAAATCATTTCCCACGTCTTTGCAATGGGGGCACCACATACTGAGCTAGACACCAGCCTGTGGGCCTTTCCTACTTGGTTCTTTGTTGCTTATGGCTGAAAAGCCTGTTAAAAACATAGTCCCTTCCATATAAAAGGAGGCTAATAAATGATTTTTGAGATGGATCTATAAAAGGTGTAGCTGAGAATTCGTCCTTTCTACAAAGTCCCCCAGATAATTATATTTCATCATTTCTCTTGAAGATTTATCCATTCTGCTTTTGGAATTCTTTTCCCATGATCTGCAAATCCATTGTTAAATTCCCAGTCTCATTTTAGAACATTTCTACCATGGCTTCCATTTCTCATGAGGCCTTCCCGAGGTGAGGCTGCTTTAATCTCACACATGCCTGCCTCAGGTTTGGGTAGGGAGGTCATGTTGGGCTTTCTCGGTTGTACCAACCAGACTAGCACTCCCATCCCTCTTGTAAAAACTCCTGAGCTTCATGCCATTTCTCTCTACGAGGCTCTCCTTCATACTACTGTTATCTATTAACCTTCTTGTACCTCACTAAACCCATATCCCCCACTCATTGAAGATTTATCACCTCTCCCATTCTCTGCTCCAACTTCTGTCAGTTTTCTTGGGAGTTCTTCATTTACACTAATAATCCACTCAGTATCCTCAGTCTTAGTTCCTTGATCTACTCATCTCCAATGAGCTTTTCTTTGCTCTACCTAAACATCCGCTCTCAGGGGATCAGAGTCAGACTAGAATTTGTCATCAGCAGAAACTTTTCTGCCTCCAAAATTACCAACTCAAACATTCTCGTCTCTGACAACAGCTCTTATTAACTTTCACAAAAGTTCCGTTAACTTTCTCACTCCATTAACTTTCACAAAAACAGTTATTTCAACCTCCCTGAGACTCATTCATCGACTTATCACTTTCTCGCTCTTCCCCAGCCTTTTGTGTCTTTACTTGTGTCTTTATCCTCCCCAAGTTCTATAGTGCATCATTTGTTCACTTTCCTTCAGCTGCTCTTTCCCACTCTCTTTTTATTACACTTTCTAAGCAGATTCATACCTTCAAATGACCTTGGTAATCTATCCTTTCTGTTTTTGTTCTCATGAAGCTTTAAGGTTATTTTTTGCCTGGGCGGGGGTTGTTTTTTTTGTAGTAAACAACATTTGGGTAAACAGAGGACACTATAAGGTCACAATCAGCAGATGGCTCTCCATCTTACCAGGATGTTACCAGGATTTGCAAAGTAAGCATGAGTTCTCAACTTTCTGTAGGTACCATTTTATACCTTGTCGTTGGTTCTCAGGCCTGACACTCCTCTACCTCCTTCTTTTTGCCTAATGACTTCACTGAGATTTAAGAAGACGACACAGAGCACGTCCTCCTTCTTCCCGCCTGTTTGTTGGGAAACATCTCTCTCCCTCTCCCAGATGCCAGGACCTCTACACCTGCTTTGGGCCTTCATCTCTTGGCCTTATCAAAGACTTCGCTCCTTTAGTTGGTCACCTTTCCCTGAATCATTAGCCTTTCTCTGTTTTCCCCTATACACAATCATGTATGGTAGCATCCGCCTTTTAAAAATCTTACCTGACCCACACTCATTTCTCTACTTCTTGCTCCATTTCTTTCTTCACCTCTACTCTTTACTTCCCTGAAACTCTTTCAAGGTCATCAAAACCTTTGGATGTTGCCAAACCCAGTTAGCTACTTCTCTCTTTTTTTCTTACTTACCACTTACCAGCATTTAGCACTGTTGCTCACCCCTACTTGCTGAAACATTCCTTTCTTTCTTCTGAGAACCTCATTTTCCTCCTAGAACCTCGTTTTCCTCCTGGTTCTTTCTGCTTAGCTGCCTTTTCTGGCTTGAATCTAACCAACTTCTAAATATTGAAGTTCCTCATAGCTTTGCACTGAGTTCTCTTTCTTTTCTCTTTATATTACATCCCCATGGCCTTAAAAACCATCTATATGCTAATAACTCCCAAATGTGTATGTTGAGCTTGGATCTCTCCTCAGTGTTTCTTTCTCATTTATCCAAATTACTTACCTGACAACTCCATGTGGGTGGTTCTCAAACATCTCAAGCTTAATACATTCAAAGATAAACTCTTGCTTTTTCCCATGGAAACCTATTTCTCCACAAATCCAGTCTGTCTCTGTAAATGACACCTCACTCTACCTGACTGCTGAAATAAAAAACCTGATTGATTTTTTTCTTCTGCCCCCTCCCACATGCAATCCATCCATAAGATGGTTGATTTAGCATCCAAGTACATCTTCTATTGCTTGTGTTACTGCAGTAACCCACTTATGGTACCTTGCTTTCTCTCTTGCCACTCACTAATAGAGCGGTCAGAGTCATCTTGTTAAAACGTAAGTTGGATCCCTTCACTTCCCTGCTAAAATCCCTTTATTACCCCTACATTGCACTTAGTGATTTAAATCATTACTCTTGACCTACATAGCCATGGGTGACCCAGCCTCTGTCTTTGTTCTTCACCCCTGCCTGTGGTCACTGCAGTCTAGTCATCTGGTTTTTGGTTTGTGGAACAAACCAGACTTGGGTAGTTTGTCCTCTTTCCTTTGGAATGTTCTTTTCTTCTCTCTTTCCATGGCTGGGTTCTTTTTATTCAAGTTTCCATCCACAGCTCATCTCTGATTTACTTCCCTAATAACTCTTTCTCTCTAGGATACCCAGTTATTCTTGACCATAGCATCATTTCTACTTCCTTCATAGCACTCTATATTTTATAATGATTGATGAGCGTACTTGCTTATGTATTATCTGTGTCTTCACTAGACCTAAGTTCTATCACCACATGCCTGCTGCTGAACACTTATCAAGCATTTAATTTGTAATTGTTGAATGAATAACTTAATCTGTCAATCTCCACAACAAATGAAATATTCAAGGATTGTGGGAAATAACAAGAAAAGATGGTCTGTTTCTTCAAGTAGCTCGCAAATATGTGTAACAATGACTAGCCAAGAGCTTTCACATGAATTTGTTCTGCCCTCAACAAAAATAGAATCATCTTCTGGGTAGTTCCTACACAAATGTCTTCATTTCATAAAAATTGAGTCATACACTTTAAGTTGTGTACTTTTCTGTAATATGGTTGTACCTTTTAATTAAAATTTATATACAAAAGAAAAAAAAGGGAAAGGGGGAAAATGGCAAAAATTACTTGCCCAATTTTCTACAGTGAAGCCTTATTTTTTATAATCAGGAGGACTACTACTGATTTTTTAAGAAAAAAAGAAATTGTCTCTGAAAAACTGTATGTTTAGGGGAAAAAAAAAAGCATTGTTTGTTCTCATTCTTCTTTTGTTCATAATACTGTTTTTGAGCTCTTATTTTACAAGTTTCTAATGCTTTAATAAACTTCCCTAAATTCGATTTAGCTTGTTATAGACTGCAAATTGGATAGAGTTTTCAGACATTGGTCTGACCAATGATGTTTACACCTGGGAGAATTAGTACATAGTTTTGCAATTTGTATTCCCACATGCATATTCTCTATCAAATTTTCTACTTGGACTGTTTCACCTGGCAGACCTGAATCTTAAGAAAATCTCACCTGCATGTGTGTCCCACAGACTACTCTGAAGAGGGGAACATTTCCTAATGCTTATTATAAGCATCAAATCACTAGATCATTAAAGGAGATGGTAAGAAGAGTCTTGAAATTACATACATAGAAGAATCTGTCATCACGCTTGGGCCCATATGATATCCTCTTAGTATAAGTCCTAGAGATTTGCCAAGTATGAGTGACGTATGAGCAGAGACCAGTCAACCCAAGGCCTCCCTACTGATAATCTTCTACCTGCTGTTCAAGGTCTCAAGTCAACTCCATCATGACATGCCATTCCATTTGGTTACTAGACGTGGCACTCTCGCAATGTGATATGCAGGAAAGTGTTTCTGGTCTCCAGAAAACTTCTGAAACACATATCTTAGGCATCTTTGTAAAAAACTTGAATATGGTCTTATGTTATTGCATATCTACCAGAAACTTGAAGCCTTCTGTTTAAGACCTAATATATACCTAGGTATTAATAAAATGGACTTTAGAAGTAGCTCTACTGGAATGGACTGTAGCAGGTAAAGTTTTTATCATGTAGAGGGAGAGCCACCCATCTGGGCCTGGGAATTTACATCTTCCTAGCATAGTGTTTAACCACTGACGGGGGGGGGGGGGGGGGGATGTTTTCTCTAGCTCCTCCTACCTCCCATCCCCTGTCGTCTATGCCCCCCCCCCCACGCCCCAATCAGGACAACTCCAAGGGGTGTCTCCAGAGTTCCCTTTGGGAATGAGCCAAAGTTCTTCTCCACAAGAGTTTACCTGATGACACACCCTTGTTGGGCTTACTTCCCTTCCCTGTCCCATTCCCTGACTCCCTATTCGTTTCTTCCTTAGGGAACCCTTCCTAATAAATCACTTTCACGTAGAGTCTGCTTCTAGGAAATCCAACCTAAGACAGGCTTCTTTCTACCTGGAGACTGAACTTATTGTGATGATCGTTTATAATCCTTTGACTTTTAACTACATAGTATATATTGTTTTAGTTCTTATTTTATCCTTTATAATACCATGATCATTTGAACAACCTTAACCCCACATTAATCTTTCTTTATTTTCTATTTGTAAAGATGTTGTTGGGAACCATTAGCTGAAATTTTACCACCTCTGTGAAACCTCAGACAAATGGTGAGACAAATTTAGTCTCATCATCCTCTGTGCTCTTTGTCTTTTTGTTTTATATTAATCCCTATTAAAGAAATTGTCACATTATATTACTGTTAGTTCTACCTTCTCAGATAGTCTGTTATTTCCTCAATGGCAGAACTCAGGTTTTATTTCATGTTTGCAAATGTATAGAAACTGGTGGTTAGTATTAAAAGTTAAGTGAATAAATATATAATTATATGAGCACATCAGTTCATCTAGAGATAACATGTTGAGGGTACTATTGTGTAAATTTTATAATATCTGAGAAATAACCAATAGCAGGGCTATCAATCATTTTTCTATTTCTCAAAACAGATTTGATGAAAACCTCCTATGGGTATGGTTTGATGGGAAATCTCTTTATCTCAAAGGACAAAAATTCGCCTACCTCTTGTCAAGGATTATCATTTACCTTTCCTAGTCAGCAGGAAGATGAGGGAAGTGAGAGGACTCGGAAATGCACCTGAGAGCTATTTACCAAATGCCAATTTTAAAATGTCAGATCATTTAACTTGAAATGATTGCCATACGAAATAACCCATGAAACAGCTCTTGGTCTTTCTGAAATTTTGAATCATTATTAGCGTGGTTCATAAGGAAATTTGCACCTGAGCTCATTAATGCTGAAGCTCAAATAGCTTTCAAATTAAAGTATCTTTTAGCTTACATAGGGACAGCCATGCTTCCAAAAGAAATTCATAATTATAAAAATCTGTCTCCACGGATTGTATCAGAATCATCGAACTAGTATTTGCAGAAGAAATGAAGCATTATTTGAATGTCACTGGTTTCTAGAGGTAGAAATGGGATTATATGTTTAACTTGGGGAATTCATGTTCCTGGGTCCAGGTTTAAGACTGATCTTTGTGTTTGACATTGATGTATAATTTCCTCTTGGGGAATATAGGCAGAGACCTAAAACATGCATTTGTATTTTTTTGAATGTTAAAAAACCCATCAGTCAGAGAGTTAGTAGGGCTGCCTTCCAGTCATAGGAGGGAGGGTGATGATGTTTCAATCCATGTCACCTTCATGTCGTTGGAGACAAGCCTAATGAGGAATGGTGGGAGAGCCTGGGTGTGGGGTTCAAGACTAGTTTTGGGTTGGTTAGCATGGTTTTGCATTAACTGTGACTTTGGGGATGCCACTTAATTTTTCTGGGCTTCATTTATCCCTTCTATTAAGTGGGAAAAAAATAACTCCTGCATACTTCAATCAGAGGATTTTTGTAAATATCCAATTTGGTCATAGTTGTGAAAGTCCTTTGAAATAAATAGTGTAAAGAACTATAGGGATCTAAAATATTATTTTCATCTTTGATAAAATTTGGCTGTAATATGAGAAAAGTCTTAGTAAAGTCTGCAATGCCCTCATTAAATGCTGCCAGCATAACTAATTTCTTATACAACATATAGGTTATAAACATGGGTTTATCATAGCTTTGTTGTAATTTATTTTTCTTTTGGTTTGTGCTTGTTCTTTGAGGAAGATGGAAAAAAAATTCTGTAATGATGTGTATGAGAAACATAATAGGCAAGACTCATTAAGCCAAAAAGTTTCTGATTGAACTCTAGCATCTGGGAAATTCAGCATCTGCTATCAGTTGAATGTTTTGATTGGCATATGTTTGGCATTTGTCATATTGAGACACTCAAAGCACTGAGCTGTAATGGAATAGCAAGCCCCTCGGTAGAAACAAATGGAAACTGTTTTATCATTAACCCAATGAAATAAACTCTGATAAAAACTATGAATAATGCAAACAGAGGCAAGTGAGAAAAAAGTCAGGATCAAGGGGAAAGTGATATTTTCCTAATGAGTCTCTTGGTTGGTGGTTTTTTTTGTTTTTGTTTTTATCTGACACTTACATTCACTGTATTTCAGTGAGGCACATATTTTGCTTCTGTTCAATGAAAGGGGACATCAATTTAATATAGGAAATAGTGTATTTTAAATGGCTGTATTTCTTTGGCCTAATTATGGGATCAAATATGCATATACTTTTGCATGGTAATTGGTATCATCTTAGATTTAACTTTTAAATTTTTTTTAAAAATTTAGATAACTGAGAATAACTGTTGTTACTTGTGTGCTATGGAAGATACTTCTGATGAATGGACGATATAGGAACCCAGATTCTATTTAAACTTCCCACCTTTAATAAGGACCCTGAACTAACTTATCTACGTTCATCCTAAATTTTTCAATCTTCCAGCATGGTATTCATTTGCCATTGTTTGCCCGCATCTATTGTTCTCCCAATTGCCAATTCTGAGGAGAAAATTTCAGACTCTTTTTCTCTATTTTTTCCTCTGGTAGGTTATACTTATCAAACATGTTTTAAAAGTTGAAGAGAAAAATGATAAAATCTGTGATTAATCCAAAGTTAATTATTTTAGTGTCATCTGACATTAATTACATTCCCTATACATTAGAGTAATAGATGTAATCCCATAAGTTTTTAAAAAAAATTATCTGTATTAGAATGACGTACATGTAATTATAACCTGAAATGTTTTCCTCACATATAAGAAAAAAGTTAATATGATTCCTACATTAAGCACATTTAAAATCCAAGTAACGGATGGGAAAATGGGCAAAAACCCTGGCCACGCTGGTAAGAGACTTATTTGAGCCCCTTAAATCCCTGTCTCTCTCTTTGGTTTACCTTTTTAGGGAAATGAAGCAAATTCTTATTCTGGCAGTCCACATAAATTGAAACCAATATTTTTTCTAGACAACTTGAGCCTGGCATTGGAACACTAGGACAATCTAGATTTTAAACTGAATTTGAGGTAGCACAGGAGAGAACATTTTTTGGATACATTGAAAGTTAGAAGACAACAAAGAAAAATATAAGATCACTACTTATCGGACTAGGAAAACAAATGTCACTGAGATGGATGAAGTTTTAATACCTACAACTTTGCTTCCGTCGTCACTACAAGTGTGTATGATTTCAAACAAAGCTCTTCTATTCCACCATACTATAGAATTAGGATAACTTTTATTGTCAGTTAAATCACAAAACATCCACCTTCTCCCCACTGCCCCTTTCAAATATTGTAGAATGGCTCTTAAATTTTGTGTTATTAGCACACTTAGGTTCCTAAATGACATGGTTTTGCATCAGTTTTGTTTGTGTAGGAGTGCTGTAGTCGATTATACTCAGTGCAATGACATTAACTGGCATCTCTGTTTGTCCTTTGGTTTGTGTTCTCTTACGAGTGTCTATACTTACATGGCTATACATTAGTTATGTACTGCCTATTTCATGTGCACCTATGTATTTAGGAATATAACAGATTTCTTTCCTTGGACAATTGCTTAACATTTTTGTTCATGATTCACATGAAGACCTAGAAGTCACACCACATTTATAGATGGTACAGATCTAGAAAGGAGAGCTAATACAAGAGAAACAGCATCCAAAACCAAATGATGGCGATAAGCTGGAACAATAGTTGAAACTGAAATTGGACTTATTGGGGGTGAAATTAAATGTTTGATTTCTAGCTTAAAAACGTGATGTTGTCCAATTACAGGCTCCGGGATGAGTGCCTGGACAAAAGTTAAGGTAACAGAAATTCTATGACTCGAGGTTAACCATATGCTCAGTGCGGCCAGAGGCATGAAGTGCGGTTGTAATGATAGTCTTGGACTAGGTTAGTTGAAGGATGACAGGGTCCAAAAAATTGAAAGTATTACATAATTCTCTCTTCTTCTACTTAATAATGAGCACTTTTTTGCTGAGCTGATTGGAGAGGGGAGAAGCTTAGAAGAAAAGAGTTTAGAAGAACTTCGAAGAACAGAGGCTACTTGGGTTTGGGATTGGGCTGGTGGATGGGGGTTCCTCAGGAGATCAGCCGCAGGCAGGGACAGGGCCTTGGAGGGAAAAATGGAGAGAAGAAAAGATCCGAGAAAAAACTAGGCAGAGAATGTTTTCTGCTGGTGAGACTACACTGGGCAAAGGTGTTAAGGTGGCCCAAGAAGCTTGAATTATAAAAGTATGCTTTCCTGACCATCCCATTGTACTCACCTTGTTGTATCAATCTGAACTTTTGTTCCTGGTGTTGAGCTTTGCATTTTAAAGGACACAGAAAAAGCTAGAGCTTTTCCAGTAGAGGAAAATTGGGATGCAGTGCTGTTTGAAAATTGTAATGGGAAGGGCTTCTGACTGAAGTGGAAATGTTTAATTTGGAGAAGGAAAGACCAGGGGACATGGCTGACTATCTTCTGTTATTTGTGGCACTGTCACCTGGAAAGAGGTGTCAGTTGATTCAGTGTTGCCAGAGGAGCAGTCCTTGTGGAAGGTGGTCCTTGGGTCAGTAAGAAGAAGGATGCTCCGAGTGACTAGAGCTGTCCATGCCTGCATAAGGGCACCTGAGCAGCACAAGAGATGTCCCAGCAGGTGAATGAAGGTGCTGAGGCTCAGGAATGTTAAGTGGTGATGAGTGGTCAAATAAGGGTTTGATCCTGGATCTGTTTAACTCCAAAGCTCTTGTTCCTTACCCATCATGTTGTCTCTGAGAATGAACCAACATCGCAATATTAAACTCTCATGTTGAAATGTCACATGTTAAACATTTACATCAAACGTATTTTTAAAATAGATTTAGGAAGCAGTGTATTTTAATGGTTAAGACATAGGCATTGAATTAATCAGACACAGGTTAAAATTTCAATTCTGCCTGTTATTAGCTGTGTCACCCTTGGGCAAGTTACTTAACTTCTCTGGGCTCCAGTTCACCTGTACAGTATTTACCTCACAGGCTGTTTTGAGGATTAAGTAAGATCACGTACAGAGGAAACACCCAATATCAGTGGTTTCTGTTAGTGTAGTATATCGTAGATACCGGAACAGTAAAGGAACAGGGATGGAATACTAAGTAATATCCGTAAAAGAAGGTCCTGAACTGAAAGTATTTAGCATCATTGGATTAATTCTTGCATTTTTTATCGGGGTTTCCTTAGCTTCCTGCAACATGAGGATTTGGGGACCTGCTATATGATATAACAGGGGCAGTGAGCTAATGTTTGACATGGCCCTCATTTTTTTTTTTTTTTTTTTTAAGATTTTATTTTTTCCTTTTTCTGCCCAAAGCTCCCCAGTACATATAGTTGTGTATTCTTCGTTGTGGGTTCCTCTAGCTGTGGTATGTGGGACGCCGCCTCAGCGTGGTCTGACGAGCAGTGCCATGTCCGCGCCCAGGATTCGAACCGACGAAACACTGGGCCGCCTGCAGCAGAGTGCGCGAACTTAACCACTCGGCCACGGGGCCAGCCCCTTGACATGGCCCTCATTTTAACAAACTCCCCAAACTCACCAGCCTTCTATGTTAGCAGGCTCCAAGGGCACAGGAATCATTAGTTAGATCAATCACGAGGACAGTCGTAGGATTGTCAGTACTCATGCAATTCATCAGTTTGCCCGTTACTAGCCAGCCACTGAATGTCTGCATATCTCAGCAGCTATAGGGACTTAACGCTCTTGCTGAGCGGAAACTGGACAGTTCAGTTTCTAACACTTCTGTTTAAGGTTATTCCTTCTTCCCTCCTCTGTCCTGGTTGTTTAGCATCAGCGGCTGCACGGATGATGGCTGCTTTTTGTAGTGGCTAGGTGGCTAATAATATACAAATAGGGATTGGATACCAAACTGTTAGGGATTCAGGAGCACTGTGTTTTCAAAGTAGTCTTTGGGCCAACCTCAGCTTGACTGCCTGGGGCCCAAAAACATGCAAATTCCTGGGCCTCAAACTCACTGAATTAGAATTCATTCCTTCTGATGGGGAAGCCTGGGGATTTTTATCCTCCAACTTTGAGTGCCCCCATGGCTTTCCCATCTCATGCAGACTGGGGTCCAAGCCTGAACCCTTGCAGAAGGCCTTCCTATGGCTCCCTCCCTGGCTCATTGCAGCCCAGCCCCACCAGCCCTTGGCTGCTCCTCAGACAGGGCAAGTGCTCCTTCGGGTCTCAGTGCCCTTGAACTTGCTCTTCTCCAAGTTACTGCATGGCTGTCACCCTCACCTCTTAGGTCTTCCTTGAATTTTTGCCTTCCCATTGAGGCCATCCCTGGCCACCCTATATACAACTAATGTGCTTCCCTCCCCGCCTATCACATTCTCCACTCGTGAGGTTTATTTAGCGTGTGTCTGTCTCCCCACAAAAGGGCAAATCTTTCTGCTGTTTTGTTCATTTTTGGACTGCCAGAGCCAAGACCGACGTCTGGCACCTAGTAGGTACTAAGTATGTGAAAGAATGAGAAGAGTAGCATAAAAAAGAATGCCATTGTGCAGGGAAACTTGGAAGATTGGGTTCAAAGATTTCTAAAGACCTCTTTGATTCTAATCCTATACTTCCCAATTATGCTGGGTTGTAATTTGTAACTGTTATGAAAGATTAAAAATGGTGAAAAATTTAGACACATGGATAACAACAACTTAGAGATTGCTTTCTATATATTTCAAATATATATTTATCCAGATCACTGGATAGGTATGTAGAGAATTTCTAGGCCCTTTTCTCCCATTTTTAATTTTATAGATTCTATTATTATCTTTTATTATGTAATGTAGTGTGTGATTGGTCATTAAGTCAGTGGTTAATTGACTTGTGTCATTTAGAAATTTTTATGCACCTTCTTATCCATACAAATAATACAGAGATAGGTGATAAATAAAATATTGTTTATTTTCATTCCTATAATTAACATAGCAATTGATAATCTCCTATTATAATATCAGCTTGAGGAAACTACATTTGATTTATATTGTTTCAGCTTTTGGCACCTTTTCCAGGATTGTCTCCTGCCTACTATATTATTAAGGTTTTAATGAATATTGATGGTGTCCTGGAATTTATGTAAATTCTCCACAAGTTTTTTTTGAGAAACAACTCTTTAGGTAGGTGGGAAATTATGATAGTATTTCTTATATTTTGGTTTTAATTTATATCTTTTGAGTGCATCCTTTGTAATATTTCACTATTTAATTTGAGACTTACTAATCACCATTAAAAATAGCATAGCTGCAAAATTCAGTGTCAGCAGCCCAGTATTTTCTTGACATAGATGTTGACAGGAATTTTCTTCTGTTGTTGGAGGAATATAAGAAGGTAGTTCACAAGCAATTAAGCTGTGATTCAAGCAATCTGCATTTTTTTTACCAAGTCTGATGTTTAATGTATTTCCATGAGACTTCTGGAATCTGAATCTGGAACAAAGGAAATGTATTCCTGTTTATAGATATTCTGTGATATAAATCCCCAAATTGATGCTGCTGATCTCTTAATAGTTTTTCCTTTAGACAAAGAAGCTCAGGTGCAATAGAGAGGAGAGAATTGACTAGGAGAATTTAAAACTGAAATCAATCTTGGTATGGAAAAATGAAAGGAAAATTGCCGTATACATGACATGAACAATTATGTAATAGCATTGTCCAGTTTTCCCAAATATTAATTTACCCATGTGTCTAATTTTCTACGAGAAGAGAATTACAGAATCCTTATTTTCCTGTGAGAAATTTTTCTGGAAATAAAGATACAAATGTTAGTTAAAAAATTCCCTATATGTCCATTCTTATTAATAAAAAAAAATTTGTTACTTACAGAAAGACTCAAATACATTTTGCAGCTCTGGCCAAAGCCACACTTTGTAAGTGATTTGCCATTGCATTAATATGTCCCTAGGTTTCTATTTTTACTGATGCTTCTGTTTAGAATTAAGTGGATCCGTCTTCATATTTCCTCCTCAGCCCCACTGTAATTGACCTGGCAGTTTGCCACACTACAGCCCAGGAGTAATCGTTTGGAGAGGATATCCTGCCTCCCATTTGAC